CCTCGCCTGCTGAGGGAGGGGGAAGAACCAATGGAGCTTGGTGGTGCAAAGGCTCAGACAGCTGCCAGAGCCTCAGCGTCCGGAGCAGTCAAGGCGAAGCCTCCTAGAGGGACCAGGAAGTGTTACATCTGTGACAGTGCACAGCACATGGCTAAAGAGTGTCCCCAGAGGCTCCAGAAGCACACTGCAGCCTTAGCGACAGTAACAGAAGCAGCGCTACAGGGAGAGCAGTTTCAGGGAAACGACAATGCCTGGCTGGAAGCAAACATGCTGGGGCTCAGCCAGGCGAGTCACTGAAACAGTCCCCAGCGCTTTTGCAGCCTACAGACCCCTTACCACCCAAGCCAGTGGTACAGCTCACTGCTACTCTCCAGCTACCTAATGGACTCACCCTGGAAGTCCCCATTACAATTGACTCAGGGAGCAACGCAGACTTCGTGGGGATGCAGTTCATCAAGCAGCATCGCATAGCGCTTCTACCAGCCACGCTGCCTCTGAACGTCGTCACCGTAGATGGCAGGAAGTTACTGGGCGGGCAAGTGGTACAGCAGTCGCCACCCATGGTGCTGCAGATCGGGAATCATCACGAGGTCATCAGTTTCAACGTCACCCGCCTGTCAGACACGCCTATAGTGTTTGGCATGAGTTGGCTGGATAGACACAGCCCATCATTAGCGTGGTACCAGCGGCAGCTCACCTTTGGCTCGTCCTACTGCGCACAACATTGCATCCAGACCGGCCAGGAGGAGGAGGGCCAGGAGGAGGGGCAACAGTTGCATCTCGGTGTGGTGCAGGCGGTGCCCCACAAGTACAAGGGGTTTTTGGAGGTCTTCTGCGAAAAGGAAGCTGACCAATTACCACCGCACAGGCCCTACGACTGTGCAATTGACCTCCTACCAGGGGCGACGCTGCCGACTGCGAAGCTGTATTCCATGTCTGAAGATGAGATGCAGGAACTCAGGGAGTTCATAGATCACAATTTGAAGCGGGGATTCATCCGAGAATCCAAGGCAGTGGGGGGCAGTCCTGTGTTTTTCGTGAAGAAGAAGGACACGCCCCAAAAGAGGCTCATTGTGGACTATAGGGCCATAAACTCGATGACAAAGCCCAAGGCCTTCCCCATGCCCAAGATTGACGACCTGCTCGCGACGGTGCGGAAGGGGAGGATCTTCACCAAGTTGGATCTACGCGGAGCATACAATCTAATACGCATGAGGGAAGGTGACTAGTGGAAAACGGCCATGTTCACGCCGCTGGGCACCTATGAATACAGAGTTATGCCGTTTGGTCTCCAAAATGGCTCCCACTGTTTCCAAGCATTCATGCACCACGTGCTAGCGGGACTCCTCTACAAGAAGTGCGTATGCTTCCTCGACGACATTCTGATCTTCTCAGCATCGCAGGAGACTCACGAGAGAGACGTAAAGGAGGTCCTGCAGAGGCTACGGGAGCACAGACTCTACGCCAAACTGGAGAAGTGCCAGTTCGACGTGACGGAGGTGGATTTCCTGGGCTACCGGCTGTCCGACAAGGGACTAGCCATGGACAGCGCCAAAGTCCACGCGGTGTTGGACTGGAATAGCCCGCGCAATCGGAAGGAGGTCCAGAGGTTCGTCGGCTTCGCCAACTTTTACCGCAAGTTCATCAGGGGTTTCGCGAAAGAGACGGCAGCTATCACGGACACCCTCAGTTCCAAGAAGAAAAAGTTCACCTGGACGGACCAGGTGGAGCAGTCCTTCAGGAGACTTAAGAGCCTCTTCGCTTCCGAAGAACAGCTGCTACACGTGAATCCCGGCAGGCCCATGCGGGTTGAGACTGACGCATCTGACAGAGCAGTGGGGGCCGTCCTCTTGCAGGAAGATCCGCAAGGGAACTGGAGGCCCTGCGCTTTCTATTCCCGGAAGCTCAGCAAGTCGGAACAGAACTACACCATCTGGGACAGGGAGTTGTTGGCCATCCACGCGGCTTTCAAGGCGTGGCGGCACTTCCTCATCGGAGCCAAGCACACCGTGCAGGTCCGCACGGACCACAAGAACCTAGAGTATTGGCGCACGGCGAAGCTCCAGAGCCAGAGGCACATAAGATGGGCGGAGTTCTTTGCGGATTTCGATTTCAGGATAGAGTATATCCCGGGAGACAACAACGTCATAGCGGATGCGCTCTCCAGGAAACCGCAGTATCTCGAGGAAGCGGCACCAGTGGCAGCCAGGCACATTTTCGCACCGCAAGCGTGGGCGTGCGCTTCCGCCGCCGTGGACCTGGACGCGGTACGACGCGCGCTACAGACGGATCCGTTCGCACAATCCAAGATGGAGGAGGTGCGAAGAGGGACAGCAAAGGACGGCGAATTCCAGATACGCGACGGCCTGCTGACCCGCAAAGGTGCTCTCTACGTGCCGGGAGACGATCTCCGCGCGAAGGTTCTACAGCAGTTACACGACGCACCCAGCGCGGGTCACTTCGGCACAGAAAAGACGGCGGACTTAGTAGCCAGGGACTTTTGGTGGCCCCAGATGCGGGGAGAGGTCGCGGATTACGTCGCCAGGTGTGACACTTGTCAGAGGTCCAAGCCAGTGCACAAGAAGCCAGCGGGATTGCTGGAACCGCTGGAGACGCCACTAGAGCCGTGGGATAGGGTGGCGCTGGACTTTGTTACTGATCTGCCCAGTTCGCGGGGCAAGACGGCGGTGCTTGTGGTTGTAGACCTGTTCACCAAGATGGCGCACTTCATTCCTTGCGCGAAGGTGGCAACAGCGGAACAGACCGCCAAGCTGTTCATAGACCACGTGTTCCGGGTGCACGGCTTACCACGGTCCATCCTGTCCGACCGGGGTCGCCAATTCATTTCCAGTTTCTGGCAGAAGCTCCTGGGCATCCTGAATGTCAAGATCACCTTAGCGTCGGCGAGACACCCGCAAACCAACGGCCAAGCGGAGAGGGTCAACGCCATCATGCAGCAGTACCTGCGATGTTACGCCAATCAACAGCCTGCAACTTGGGTGGACTACTTACCGATGGCCGAGTTTGCCTACAACAACACGAAGCACGCGTCAACGGGGGTGACACCGTTCTTCGCCAACAATGGGCGACATCCCAGAACCTTCCCGGCGTTGGAGGCAACGACGCAGGGGGAGTCGCAGGGAGCTGAGCATTTAGCAGCAGAACTGCAGGAGGTCCACGAGGAGCTACGACGGCACTTGGAACTAGCTAAACACGCCTACAAAGTGCAGGCAGACAGGCACAGGAGGGCAGGAGAAGACATCCAGGTGGGGGACTGGGTATGGTTAGCAGCCCAGGCGGTGCCGGCCAAGTCGTTAGCTAAGAAGAAGCTAGGACACAAACAGCTAGGGCCATACCAAGTTGAGGGCAGGATCAATCCCGTAGCTTTTCGGTTGACCCTCCCAGAAGGTTCCAGAATGCACCCGGTCTTTCATAGGTCGGTGCTTACACCCTACAAGGCCCCACACAGATTTCAGGAGCCAGGGACGGCACCAGACCCACGTAGAAAGTCGCCGGGGGGGGAAGTCACCGAGGACCCCGACACTCAACGAGGCCACGGAAATTCTGGACTCGAGATGGGGGGAGGAGGGAGTGGAATACCTCCTCGCCAGGGAAGGTACCCCGGCCAGCGCCAACAGTTGGCTGCCAGATTATGCTCTGGAGGAACCTCTTCTTAAGGACGAGTTCCATGCACTCTTCCCACACAGGCCCATGCCAGCGGAGTATTTTGACGACTGGCTTTTTACGCCCACGCTTTCAGGCAGCACCTTCCGAGGGTTCTCCTCCGCAGAGGAGACCACGCCGGAATCGAGCCCTCCAAGGGGATCGTGCTCGGGGGTGGACACGGACCGCTCTTATTGGTGGGACGATCAACCAGAAGTGGGGTGGCGAAGGGGGCCTTGGCAAGCAGCATCGCCTGAAGTAACAGGGGGAGGGGTGGACTTGGATGTGTTGGGGGAGGACCCCGGTTTCGAGCACTCCTACACTGAACTGGAAGCAGAGGAGATCGACGTTGACGAACTGTATCCAGCATCTACCCCCGCTACAACGGAGCTCCCGGAACCTGCGCCCGAGCAGCGGGAGGGGGGAAGGGGGGCTTCGAGGGGGGGATGGATGTCAGGGGTTCAGGGACAGAGGCACAGGGTAGGCAGGAGATGGAGAGCGATGGGGATGAATCCCAGGACAGCGAGGAAGAGGATGACAATGACTCAAGAGATTCCATGAGTCTTTCCAGCGAATCAGAGGATTCCCAGAAGGGGGCGCCGGTGGTCAAGGCCAGGGGAGCCCCAGGGGGGACGTGTCAGGAGCAGGGGCCAGCGGAGGATCCCAAAGTGGCAGCTGGGCGTCAGGACCAGCCTCCCCACCAGAGTGCAGCGAAGGGGGTGGAGGTTCCAGTGTATCAGGGGAAGCAGCTCCGGCAGCAGAGAAGGGAGGGAGGTCGGAGCAAGCCACCCTCCCGGAAGGGGAGGGGAGTAGTGAAGGGAGTAGTGTAACTGTCAAAAGGAAGGTTAGAGGTTGGGCGCGCGCGCCAAGTTCAAATGTAGAGGCGCGCGGAAGTACAGGGAGCCCGGAGGAGGGGCCAGGTCCCAAAGCCCGCAGGAGGGGGGGAGAGCAGTCTGGAGATTCCACGTCAGGGGAATCCAGGAGGGGCGAAACCCCAGCGGGCAGGAAGACCCTGCGGAAAAGGAAAGAGAGGAAGAGGTGGAGCAGCGCAAGGCTCTTAAACTGGTGCAGGGGAGGGACTGACTCAGAGGGGACTTCAACGGTCTAAGCGTACAGACGTGGGGCTGCGCGCCTCGGATATGAAGCAAACAATGAACTGCAATAAACGCTTTTGTATATAAGAAGAGATGGGCGTTGGTCTTTTGTGAGCTGAGACCTGAGGCAGCCTTGACAGGTAGATTTTTGCAAGCTTGACTGGGGTTATGTACCACCTGTATATCATTTTCATAATATTCTCTCTTAAGGCATTACATGCCGTAAATTTCATACCTGTGGTCCATAACTGCTCCCAGTCAGCGAACATAATGTTGTGTCCAACGTCTTGTGCCCATTTAATCATAACAGATTTCACCGTTTCATCCTGAGTGTTCCATTTCAACAGCAAGTTATACATCTTTGACAAATTCTTAGTTTTGGGTTCTAACAGTTCAGTTTCTAATTTTGATTTTTCCACCCGGAAGCCAATTTTCTTGTCCAAATTAAATGCCTCCATTATCTGAAAATAATGAAGCCAGTCTCGCACTTTGTTTTTTAATTTTTCAAAACTCTGCAATTTCAGTCTATCTCCATCTTGTTCCAAAATTTCCCAATATTTCGGCCATTTGACCTCCATATTGAGTTTTTTCAAGGCTTTCGCTTCCATTGGTGACAGCCACCTTGGAGTTTTGTTTTCTAATAAATCCTTGTATCTGATCCAAATATTAAACAGTGCTTTCCTGACAATGTGATTTTTAAATGCTTTATGTGCTTTGACCTTATCATACCACAGATATGCATGCCATCCAAATACATTGTTGAAACCTTCTAGATCCAAAATATCAGTGTTTTCAAGAATCAGCCATTCTTTCAGCCAGCAAAAAGCTGCTGATTCATAATAAAGTTTAAGGTCTGGCAGGGCAAATCCACCTCTTTCCTTTGCATCCGTTAGTATTTTAAATTTTATTCTGGGCTTCTTGCCCTGCCAGACAAATCTAGAAATATCTTTCTGCCACCTCTTGAAACAATCCATTTTGTCCACAATTTGCAAAGTTTGAAACAAAAACAACATTCTAGGCAATACATTCATTTTTATCGCAGCAATACGGCCCAGCAGTGAAAGCTTCAAATTTGACCAAATTTCTAAATCTTTTTTCACTTCAGCCCAACATTTTTCATAGTTATCTTTAAATAAATTCCCATTTTTTGCTGTCATGTTGACCCCCAGTGTCAAGGCTGTCTCAGGTCTCAGCTCACAAAAGACCAACGCCAATTTCTTCTTATATACAAAAGTGTTTATTGGAGTTCATTGTTTGCTTCACATCCGAGGCGCGCAGCCCCACGTCTGTTACGCTTAGACCGTTGAAGTCCCCTCTGAGTAAGTCCCTCACAGCCACCAGATTAAGAGGCTTGCGCTGCTCCACGTCTACCTCTCTATCCTTTACAGCAGGGTCATACTGCCCGCTGGGGTTTCGCCCGTCCTGGATTCCCCTGACGCGGAATCCCCAGATTGCTCTTGCCCCCTCCTGCGGGCTTTGGGACCTGGCCCCTCCTCCGGGCTCCCTGTACTTCCGCGCGCCTCCACATTTGAACTTGGCGCGCGCCCAACCTCTAACCTTCCTTTTGACAGCTACACTACTCCCTTCACTACTCCCCTCCCCTTCCGGGAGGGTGGCTTGCTCCGACCTCCCTCCCTTCTCTGCTGCCGGAGCTGCTTCCCCTGATACACTGGAACCTCCACCCCCTTCGCTGCACTCTGGCGGGGAGGCTGGTCCTGACGCCCAGCTGCCACTTTGGGATCCCCCGCTGGCCCCCTGCTCCTGACACGTTCCCCCTGGGGCTCCCCTGGCCTTGACCACCGGCGCCCCTTCTGGGAATCCTCTGATTCGCTGGAAAGACTCATGGAATCTCTTGAGTCATTGTCATCCTCTTCCTCGCTGTCTTGGGATTCATCCCCATCGCTCTCCATCTCCTGCCTACCCTGTGCCTCTGTCCCTGAACCCCTGACACCCAGGTATTTAACTTTCTTAACCACTGTTAAACCTGTCACATTCTGAAACCTCTCTCTCTCCATTGGTGTTAGATTTTTCTCTAAAACCTTAGTTTTTAACTTGTTCACTTTAAATCCTGCAACTTGACCAAATTCTTGAATCAATTCTAAAACCCTTTTAGTACTAGATTCTGGCTCCTGTAATGTCAATACTAAATCATCTGCAAATGCTCTCAATTTGTACTGTTTAGCTCCGACCTGTATACCTTTAACCATCTGGTCCCTTCTAATCATGTTCAGCAACCAGGACCAAAATAAAAAGAAGTGGGGAAATTGGGCAACCTTGTCGTGTCCCTTTTTCAATTTTAAGTTCTTCAGTCACCACATTATTTACAATTAATTTAGCCTTTTGTTCTGAATAAATTGCACTTATCCCATTCTCAAAGCCTTGGCCTACCCCCATGCCCTGTAGATTCTTCTTCATAAAGTTCCAAGAAATATTGTCAAAAGCTTTCTCTGCATCCACAAATATCAAAACTGCTTTAGTGTTTATGTTCACTTCTAGTTTTTCCAGAATATCAATTATATTCCTCAAATTGTCAGACAAATGTCTTCCTGGGAGAAAGCCCGCTTGATCTTTATGAATCTCTTCCATCAACACTTTTTTAAATCTCTTGGCCAAAATGTCAGCAAAAATTTTGTAATCCACATTAAGTAATGATATAGGGTTAGGGTTCTAAAATCACATTATAATCCAAATAGTCCATCAGGGTCTCATGCAACTTTTTTAAAAAATCGGATTTCCCCTCATTTGGTGCGTAAATTCCTACTATCAAAAATTTTTCTCCTTGTGTTTGAATTTCAATTGCCACAAATCTTCCTTGGTCATCTTTAAAGATAAATTTCGGTAATAATCTCTCCTTTGCATAAATCACTACCCCTCTTTTTTTCACCTTGTCCGATGAAATAAACTCCTGACCAAGTCTTTTATTAATCAATAGTTTCCTGTGTAACCTTGTTATATGTGTTTCTTGTAAACAAATCAAGTCCAGTTGTTCCTTTTTTAATAAATAAAACACAGACCTCCTTTTCCGAGGGGAGTTCAAACCATTACAATTCCAACTTAGTAGTTGCAGAGCCATGATGTAGTTACTTTGCTTCTCCTCCAACTGCACCCAGTGCCTGTTCCTGTTCTGTCGGTGGTATCACCTTCTTCAGGCGGTCTTTTAGTTCCGGAGGTAAATCTGGTGTGTCTAATGTTTCACTTACAAGTGCTCTTAGCTCTCCTGTAACTTTCTTCTGCAGGTCTTCTCCGTGCTCTCTACAAAATTTATCTTTGTCGTCTTCTGATCTTATTTTTATCTCCTTCCCTTTATAACTGAAGGATAGGCCTTGGGGGAATTCCCACCTAAAAATGATTCCGTTACTTCTCAACAGGGCAACCAAATCTCTATAATTGGACCTAAGGTCCAAAAGATGTTTCGGAATATCCTTAAATATCTCCACTTTTGACTGATGTATTTCCAAGGTCTTCTGGAAATGCAGACTCAATATTTTGTCTCTCTCCTCTTTTGTTCGGAGGGTGATCAAACAGTCTCTCACCCTGTTCTTCCTCCCTCCTTTTCCAAGCCTAAAAGCACTCACTATCTTGAAACTATCCTTCCCCAAATCTGGGTTCCAAAAGTCTGCAAATTCCTGCGTAAGAAATTCAATCAAATTGTCTTTCTCCAATTCAGGTACGGCCCTGACCCTTAAATTCGCTTGTTTCTCCTTCAACTCAATCATAGACAGTATTGACTTGTGGTCTTCAAGTTGTTTGTGTAACAGTGGTATCTTCTCTTCTAGAACAGTGGCTGTAGCAGTTGCAATTTCCTTTGCCTCTTCGGCTGTCTTTCGTGTCGAAGTGGATTCCTGCAGTAATTTCTGAATAGTTTCTGTATTGGTATTTACCTTCTGTCCCAAATTATTAATACTTGTGGTGTTTTGATCAATTTTGCCCGATGCCTCGGCTACTTGTTTACTTATTCTTTCCAAAGATTCATCAATTTTGCCTAATGCCTGAGCCAGGGCATCGTCAGCTGCCATACCTTTAGGTTTAGGTTGTGCCGATGAGGTTGCTGTTGGTAAACCAGAAGGGCCAGATGTCGATGCTCTTCTTTGCAGCCCACCGTCTGTGCGAAATACTCTGCCAGACCTCGTTGCTTGTAACAAATCTATCTTCTCTTTCCCATCTGCCATAACCCTCAAGATATAGCCCAAGGTCAATCTCACGATCAGAGTCAGAGTTGTTTTGAAGTGGAAAATTCCCTTAGCCCAGCTGCAGTTGTAACAGTTTCAAACTTCCTCTAGGGGGACACAGTAACAGTCAAAAATGTCTTAAAGTAATTAACTTCTCCCTTTCGCCCCCCAATTCACCAAAAGGACAAAAGTTTCTATCTCAGTTGTTTCCTGTTACTTTAAAACCAGGAGAAGCCAGTCAGCAATATTGTATCTTAGTTGTATCTCAGATGCAGAGTTAACTGTCAGAGAGTACTTTCAGCAACAGCGCAATTCTCAATACGGCTTTCTTACTGTCACTGGGAACCCGTTCCAGGGTTTTAAGCGGTGGATTTTAGCTCCTCTTCCTCTCTTTTTTTGGAGGGAAATAACGTTCAGACCTTTTCCCCCCTCCTCCCCTGCAATCAAGGGGGGGAAATCGCTGTTTTGATGTTCGAATTATAATCCTTTTCCAACGTCTTTTAAGGTTTCCGCTTACAAGTTCATTGCCTTACTCCATTTACAAGAACGGAAGGCAGACTTCCTGTTTATGCCTCTCCGCTTCGGTGCCAAATTAATTATAAAGTTCCTTTAGTTCTGAAATTAGCCTACTCACGGATCGTTGTTTTGCAGCCAAATTGTCCCAGGAAAAAGGTAGCGCTCTCCGGTAATGGCTACGCGGCTTCACTCCACGGAAGAAGCAGACGACTCACAGCACCGCGCCACTTCCCCACTCCGCTCCAGAGCCCGTAGCCGGACTCCTTTGCCAATGGGGGGGGCGCAAACGGTGCCCGCCGAGTCCCACGATCACATCTGAATCATTTCCATTGGGCATAGATCTGGAAACACCTCTACATTAAATAAGTTGTATTTAACTTCTCAATAGTTGCACAGGGCACTAAATCAAAGTTTTAGTTTGGTAGCCTTCAAAGCAAATGACATTTCTTGGGACATGTGTGTTTTTAGCTCAAAGCACCCCCACTCTGTGTGCCCTTTCAATGTCATGGAGAGTGATGGGGGTGGGTTCTATCTTCAAACTATCAAAACAAAATAAAAGCAATAATATCTCCCCCCCTTCTCTTTTTCCAGAATCCCAGATAGTTTATTTTTTCACCTTTTATTTTTATCCAATTGAGCTGCAAATTTTAAATCAAAACTTTCATTTGCAATTTTAAGATGCTTGCAGTTGTTTCAATGCTTAAGGTGCTGTTAAGTGTGTTTGCTGTTTCCATTACATTAACTATTTGATTAGATAACATCTCACTCTTGCTTTCAAGTGGATGCAAAGCAGCTGCCCAGTCCGTTCCAGAAAGCCCTTCTTATGTATGAATAAACTCATCTGAGTATTTTTAACTGTCTAAGCTGTTTGGAGTTTTTGCGCCTTTTTGCTGGGAGGCCACAGGCACCATAGTTTCCTCACAAGCTCCCTCCAAGAATGCCAAGTAATCAGAAGCTACAGCTTCCTACCAGACAAGCCTAAACAAACACTTCTTATAGTTTTCCTCCACTGTGAGTTCTTTGATGGTAAGTAAGGCTGGCCCTCTGACTGAAGCTCTTTCCACACTCTTGGCACTGAAACGGTTTCTCCCCACTGTGAATTCTTTGGTGGGTTGTGAGGTTGGCCCTCTCACGAAAGCTCTTTCCGCACTCTTGGCACTGAAATGGTTTCTCTCCACTATGAATTCTTTGATGGATGGTGAGACATCTGCTTTGACTGAAGCTCTTTCCACATTCCAAACACTGATAGGGTTTCTCCCCTGTATGAATTCTTTGATGGACTGTGAGATTGAAGTTCTGACTGAAGCTCTTTCCGCACTCCAAGCAATGATAAGGTTTCTCCCTTGTATGAAGTTTTTGATGGACCATGAGACTGCCCCTCCTACTAAAACTCTTTCCACATTCTGAGCACAGATGAGGTTTCTCCCCTGTATGAATTTTTGTATGAGAAGTGAGGTGGTCACTTTTATTGAAGCTCTTTCCACATTCCAAGCACTTATAAGGTTTTCCCCCTGAATGAATTCTTTTATGGGAAGTGAGATAGCGGCTGTGACTGAAATTTTTTCCACATTCTAAGCACTGATATGGTTTCCCACTGGTATGAATAGTTTGATGGGAAGTGAAACTTATTTTCCAAGTGAAGCTCTTTCCACATTCCAAGCACTGATATGGTTTTTCTCCTGTATGAATTCTTTGATGCGAAGTGAGATTAGCTCTCTGACTGAAGAGCTTTCCACATTCCAGACACTGATAGGGTTTTTCCCCTGTATGAATTCTTTGATGGGAAGTGAGACTGATGCTGTGACTGAAGCTCTTTCCACATTCCAAGCACTGATAGGGTTTTTCCCCTGTATGAATTCTTTGATGGGAAGTGAGACTGATGCTGTGACTGAAGCTCTTTCCACATTCCAAGCACTGATAGGGCTTTCCCCTCGTATGAATTCTTTGATGGAAAGTGAAACTTTTTTTCCAGGTGAAGCTCTTTCCACATTCCAAGCATTTATAGGGTTTCTCCCCTGTATGAAGTGTTTGATGGGCAGCGAGACTTTCTTTCCAGGTGAAGCTCATTCCACATTCCAAACAACAATATGGTTTCTCCCCTGTATGAATTCTTTGATGGGAAGTGAGATGGTTGCTGTGACTGAAGCTCTTTCCACATTCAAAGCACTGATACGGTTTCTCCCCTGTATGAATTCTTTGATGGGAAGTGAAACTCTCTTTTCGACTGAAGCACTTTCCACATTCCAAGCACTGATATGGTTTTTCCCTCATATGAATTTTGTGATGGGAATTGAGATAGGAACTGTGACCGAAGCTCTTTCCACACTGCAAGCACTGATAGGGTTTCTCCCCTGTATGAATTCTTTGATGGGCAGTGAGACTTTCTTTCCAGGTGAAGCTCTTTCCACACTGCAAACACTGATAGGGTTTCTCCCCTGTATGAATTCTTTGATGGGAAGAGAGATGGTTGCTGTGACCAAAGCTCTTTCCACACTCTTGGCATTGATAGGGTTTCCCCCCTGTATGAATTCTTTGATGGAATGTAAAACTTTTTTTCCAGGTGAAGCTCTTTCCACATTCCAAGCACTGATAGGGTTTCTTCCCTGTATGAATTCTTTGATGGGCAGTGAGACTTTCTTTCCAGGTGAAGCTCATTCTGCACTCCAAGCACTGATAGGGTTTCTCCCCTGTATGAATTCTTTGATGGGAAGTGAGATGGTTGCTGTGTCTAAAGCTCTTTCCACATTCGAAGCACTGATAGGGTTTTTCCCCTGTATGAATTCTTTGATGGGAAGTGAAACTCTCCATTCGACTGAAGCTCTTTCCACATTCCACACACTTATATGGTTTCTCCCCTGTATGAATTTTTTGATGGGAAGTGAGATGGGCCCTGTGACTGAAGCTCTTTCCACATTCCAAACATTTATAGGGTTTCTCCCCTGTATGAATTCTGTGATGGACATTGAGAAGGCCCCGGTGTCTGTAGCTCTTTCCACATTCCAAGCACTGATGGGGTTTCTTCTCAAGGGGATTTCTTTGATGGGAAGAGGAATAGGAGCTCTGACTGAAGCTCTCTCCACAGTTTGAATCCTGATATGGCTCCTCCACTTTGTGGAATTCTTTGTGGTCTCCCTTGTTCTTCATTTCCAATTCATCACCAGCTGAAACTAAGAGGCAAATGGATTAGAACCTCGGGAAGAAGCGCAGCCCCAAATTATGGAGTGATGCTAGTTAATGCTTATCACAGGGAGAGAACTCAAGGGAATTAGATGTTATAATATTCCTTTTGTTCTGTAAAAATGTCTAGCTTCATATACAAATCAAGTTGAATTTTCTCTCAATTAAATTTTTAAAAGATAACTGTACAGCTTAACTTGGTGTGTGCTTTTATTATTATTTAAATGGTGGCCAATGCACGAAAGTTCCCGGTTCAAAATTAAGATATATTCAATATGCTAAGTTGTTGATATGCAATAATAAATCTAAACAAATTTTAAGAGCTGGTGAAATATTTGGGAACACTAACACTGGCCTTGTGGTAGGCGATGTAAGAGTAGGGGAATGAAAATGGCAAACGTGAACTTCTGTGTGCTGAAAAACACTTTTTGTATGTTCAACAAATGTGTGTAGCAGCTGCCAAATTTAAACTTCTTCAGTGGCTAAAAAATATAGTTATGATGTGCATCACTTTAAGCAATTTGGATGTTTTCATAAATTATTGACATCACAGCATGCAGCAGAAACTTGTGATATCGGCATTATTATGACTCAAGTGCCCTTACTTAAATGTTACATTACTGCAAGAAGTTACAGGGGACGAGGCAGGGGGCCTTCTCGGTAGGGGCACCCACCCTGTGGAACGCCCTCCCATCAGATGTCAAGGAGATAACTATGCAACTTAGAGGACTTCTGAAGGCACCTCTGTATGGGGAATTTTTAAATGTTTGATGTTCAATGCCTGAGATTCAAAAAGCCTAGCTCTTTTCTGGGATGGAGTTTGTTTGGTCCAGTTGTGGAATCTGTGCCATCTCCAATGTCAGTCGACTCTTTGGTCAACCAAAGAGAGACACAAAACAAGAACAGAAGCAAAAAACTTGACTGAAGCTACTTTAACACCTCAAATCACTCTGAAGCCTACATTTAAGAAGGCCTGGGCAGTTCAGACATCCTGGTCAGGGTTTTAAAAGGCAGAATATTCACAGGGAAAACAATCAATAGCCATCCATCCAAGGTTTGCTGTGGGAGTGTTAACATCCCAGGTGCTGTGGGTGGTGCTGTTGAGCCCCATCGAAATATCAGAGGTTCGTCACATAGAGAGATGTCTTGAATTACAAAACAGATAGGATGATCCAATAGGGAGCCTTACTGAGAGAGTCCAAGATCCCACGATTCTCTTCCATGACTTCCTTATGGAGAGCTCTCTGGTCAGGATCTAGCAACACCCACTCCTCGTCTGTGAAATGGACAGCTACATCTTCAAAGCACACTGGACCCTAACAGAACAGGAAAAAGGCTGTCCTCTTAGAGAACATTCACGTGCTCCATTACACTTGGCTCTGTTGTTGTCTACAGCGGCCAGACCCCTCTCTGCCTTCCTCATCCCTCTCTCCTGCTGCAGCTTCTGCCTCGGAGTCTGGGCTGCTCTCTGCCACAGACTCCCTCTGCTCCCTGAGCCCTCTTCCCTCTCCAGCTTCAGACACCTCCTCCTCCTCCTCCTCCCAGTCGGCTCCCTCTTCTCTGGCTCCTCCCACCATTCCTCTGCATCCAACTGTGTCCAGCCAGTCTGCATCCAAGCAGTCGTTCCCCACAAGGCTCCTTCTCCCTACCTGATCTGGGTCCACAGCTGCTGCCTCCCCTCCACCACCATGAAAAGATGAAGGAGCAGGTCTTGGTGGCATCATTCCGTCACCTGGGAGAGACAAAGGTAAGTAGAAACTGTGAGCGCCTGCTTCTCTCAGAGGTGAAACAGTGCATCTCTAAGTACAGATGGGGCTTGTCAAGTCTCCCCTGCTAGCTTCCGGTTCCGCTCTGCCTTAATGGGGCAGCGGGAAATCGTTGGCAAAGGAAAAACAAGGATGATTGAGGGTAATTCTCCTCGCAAGTTCCCCCAGGGACAGGGGGAACAGGCTTCACTCCCAGTTCGTCTCAGTACCTGGCTCTCGCTCCGGCATGGGTTGTGGGAGGCAGGGAGGCGCTGAGTGCGAAAGCCCTTCGCCTGCTGAAAACCCTCCTTCGTAGCCATTAAGGAGCAGAGGTTTTCCTGTCAATTAGAGCTCAATTTGGACTAATGTACAGATGTTGCTGGAAGGGATGAGATCATAAACTGTGGAACCTAAACAGCTACAAGGTCTTTAAGGGTTGAATTTGAGAGAAGACTTCATTTGGTGCAAAAGATGGGGGGGGGAGGGAAGCCTATGGCTTCTTTATGTAAAATTTTCTTCTCTACATTTATGATTTGGCAACCCACCTGTCAGGGAACTGCCATCAGTGCCGGAGGGAGAGAGAGAGCTCCAGAGGGATCCCAGAGAGCGTCACAGGATTGGGAGAGGCAGCCCATCTTCTGGGGAAGGGAATCAGCTCAGCTCCAGTGGAGAAGGGGGGCAGATGGGGGAATCTGAGAGGGAGTCACATGACTCCTTGCCTGGGACCACTGGGGGGAGGAAGGGTCCTCCGCTGCCTACACCTTCCTTGCGCAGAAGGCTTCCGCGCAGGGAAAGTAGGAGGCGACTGGGCGTGAAAGAACTTCTATGCTGGAAGAAGTTTAAGAAACGCCCACTGACGGATTCTGCCAGCAATTGAGACAGCCACGGGTGAGTGGCTGTCTGGACAGAAAAGGTTCACTTAGGCAACCCAGCCAGGTGTGGGCACCGGCTTACGCACGAGCAACCCCTTGAACCATTACACCACCATTGAATGCTAGTTCAAATTATATATGTACAGGTGAGCAGGGATGAAACTGGATTGCAGATATGGAATATAACATCAAATGGAACTTTGTGTGTAAAAAAAGGAAAAAGGGAGGGAAGCTATATTTTACAAAATGTTTACGATGGAAAATTAGAGCTGACTCTTCCCTATCCTTTATTATTTATGGACTGAACTGAATAATGCTAAAAGGACTTGGAATTTAATTTAATTGGATAACTGTGCATTTATATTTGGCCAGATAGAGGGATGTAAGTTGTGAAGGAGCTGATAAAATTCATTACTGAATCATTTGCAGTTCGACAGATCCCTCTCCTTCCCAGGCGGAGAAGAAAAGTGGCAAAAACAGGTTATTTATTGGGACCATGTTATTTTTGCAGCTGCTGTTAAAGTTGCCAAACAACGAAGCACAGGACAGAGTGATGGAGAATTTCTGAAACCACAATGGGATATTAGCTCTGCCCAAGAAATGATGGAGAACAGCAACAACCAGGAAAAGATAGACAGAACATTTTACAAGGACAGGAAGAAACATCATGAACAGAAAGATTGCCACACACAGGAAGAATAAGGATATAGCTGGAGTGCCTCACTTGTAGTTTTATATATTATTTAATGTGTCAAAACGAATGGAAGTCATTAATATTGCAGTTGTTGTATAAATGATTGTTATCTTGACTGGAGTGTAATTGAAATTAATAAGATTTTGGAATGCAGAAATAAAGAAAATCATCAAACCATTGTGGGGGGGCACCTAAATTATATAATTTGGGTTGGTATTAGTAATTGTATTGTAATTTGGCATTGTTATAATGAGGCTATTATAGGACTGTAATTGAAAACTAATAAAAATTACTATTGTGGACACATTATAATGATGGAAGATTGGGAAAGGTTGTGGAAGAAAGGAGTTAAGGTTACTGAATGTACTGAATTCAAAGAAAACATTATGAAAATGATGTATAGATGGTACTTAACCCCGGTAACGCTAGCAAAGATTTACCACACTGTCAGGGGTTCAGGAGCAGAGGCAAGGGCAAGGGAGGAAACAGAGAGCGAGGGGGAGGAGGCAGAAGAAAAGATGAGTGATGACGACGACCCGAGATCTCCGAGTCTTTCCAGTGAATCAGAAGATTCACAGAAAGGAGCACCAGTGGCCAGGGCAAGGGGGAGCCTAGGGGACACCCCAGGAAGATAGAGCCAGAGGGGACTCAGAGGGGAGCAGTTGGAAATCGGGACCAACGTCACCGCCAGAGAGCAGGGAAGAGGAAGGGCACCAGGGATCAAGCGCTGGCAACTCACAACAGGGGGGAGGGCACGAGTCAGGAGTGGCCACACCTCCATCGGGGAGCGAAGAAACGGTCAGACGGAAGGTGGAAGGTTGGGCGCGCGCGCCAAGTTCAAATGCACAGGAAGGTGGCGCAGTAGGCAGCCCGGAAAGGGAGCCAGGTCCCAAAGCCCGCCGAAAGGAGGGAGAAGAGTCAAGGAGTCAGCGTCAGCGTCAGAGGAATCCCGGAAGGAAGAGACCCCGGGGGGGCAGAGGGACCCAGAGAAGAACAGTCAGGCGGAAAAGGTGGAGCAGGGCTAGGATATTAAGTTGGTGTACAAGGGGCGGAGACTCAGACGGAGCTTCGCCGGTCTAAGCATGAGACGTAGAGTTGCACGCAGCAGCTTGAGAATGGAAACTGTAACTCAATAAAGACTTTTGCTTAATGATCGCTGGCTAGCGTGATCCTCTGTGAGCTAGGATCTGGAAGCAGCTCTGACAGTAAGCTCCGTCTCCTAAATTGTGGGCATCTACGGCCTCGCGGAGAGGAGAGAAAGCGGGTGCCTACTAGCGAGCTCACGAACGGCAGACAATATGACGGCCGAACAGCAGATAGCGGAACTCAGAGAAGCAGTGTCACGACTGAATGCCGAGGCTCTTGCATCCAGGAAGAGAGAGGAGGACGCAGCTGCCGCCTACAGGGATCTCCAGGTCAGGTTGGAAGTGCTTACGAAGCAAGGGCAACTGACACCCAAACCGGAGGGGATTGGGTTGGGGAGACGAACAGGCGGTCTGGTCTCTCACTTCGATGGGAATTTGCAACAGTACCCCAACTTTAGAGCAGATGTAATGTGTGCACTGCAACTGCTGAACAAAGACTTTAGAGATGAGCAAGAGAAGGTGGGATTCATCATGTCCCATTTGCATGGAGATGCTAAAGCATGGCTGCGCAATTTGTGGAGAGATAAGGATCCGGCGCTCCAAAATGCGGATGCCTTTATTAAAGCGATGGATGGGTGCTTTTTATCAAGCATTGACGTGGATCTTGCTCGGCAGCAGATACATGGACTGAAGCAAGGGAGGGCCAGCGTAAGGCAGTACCATGCCCGCTTTTCGCTTTGGTCAGTGCTCTGGAATGGGACAGAGATTCGGCTCCTGTAAGAGACCTGTTTTGGGAGGGATTGCACGGCTCGGTTAAAGATGAAATTGCGAGGGGGGAGAGACCCCGGACCACGCAGGAGATCGTTCAGAGGGCGCTGGCGGTGGGGGTGCGGCTGGAAGAACGTCCGTGGAGCAGGGATGAAGGGCGTGGAGGGCGCGAACCAGCCAGGGGCTCCTCCTTCCTTCCCAGAGAAGCAGCGCGTGCGCAATCCACGCCTCCGCCAGGAGGAGGAGCGGAACCTATGGAGGTTGGAGGTGCAAGGGCTCAGTCAGCAGCCAGAGCCCTAGCACCGGCAGCAGTGAAAGCGAAGCCTCCTAGAGGGAACAGGAAGTGTTACATCTGCGATGATCCACAGCATATGGCGAAAGAGTGTCCCCAGAGGCTCCACAAGCACACTGCAGCCTCAGCAATGGTAACTGCAGCAACGCAGCAAGGAGAACCACGGCAGGGAAACGACGGAGTCTGGCTGGAGGAAGAGGCACTGGGGCCCAGCCAGACGTGTCAGTGAAGCAGTCCCCAGAGATTTTACAGCCCATGGACCCCTCCCGCCCAAACCAGTAGTGAGGCTCACCGCGTCGCTCCAGCTGCCCAATGGCATCAACATGGACGTGCCAATCACCATTGACTCCGGAAGCAATGCGGACTTTATAGGGCAGGACTTTGTCGACCGGCACGCTATACAGTTGCTGCCTGCCACGCTGCCCCTGCAGGTTGTCACGGTGGATGGCAGGGAGCTGCTAGGGGGGCAAGTGGTGAAGCAGACGCCACCAATGGTGATGAGACTTGGGAATCACAGGGAAATCATCAGCTTCAATGTCACTCAACTATCGGACACGCCCATTGTATTGGGCATGAGTTGGCTGGACAAGCACAGCCCGACGCTGGCTTGGTACCAGAGGCAGCTGACCTTCGGCTCTTCCTTTTGCGCTGAACACTGCATCGTGCCCCGGCAGGAAGGAGAGGAAGAGGAGTCACAGCTGCAGCTCGGCAC